TGTTATAAATAATAATAATGAAAAGAATAAAAAGGTAAGTTGAAGAATTTAGAGCAAGTAATTGGATCTGGGCACTTCGCTATGCATTCGTCAAGGGGAAGAGATCTAGTTGTCTACAGTCAACACTTAAAAACGTGACATTTGTAAAGAGGTTATACTAAAGTTTGGTAGTTTGTGCAAACTAAATTTTTAACTGTCCAGTAACTATTGGTTGGAACATCTTCATACTGGCATTGCATATGTAAGTGTATTCTGCTAAGTATAATACCTTCTGAGATAAATTCACAGATGTTTTGAGTGAAACCTAGATTTGGAGAAAAAAGTAGCCTTGGACTTTCTCTCTTATGTGCTTAAATGAGGAGGAATACTAAAGTTATTTGAGAAGATAGAATGTCCACATTGCTATCCTCTAATATGTAAAATGCCTCCTGTATATTTCTGTGTTCAAAACTTTGCTTAACATAGAAATATTTACATTTAAAAGACCTACAAAGCTAGTGATTCATATTAAAACTAAAATTCATATTAGAGCATTACAAGAGAAAATGCCTGAAACGTCAAATGAAGATAATTTACGCACTGTGATAAGAAGACTTGTAATATACATCGAAAGAAAACAGCCACAGCAAAGAAAGTTATAGCTCTTGAATCAAAATGCTGTGGCATTGGATGGAAGGATGAAGCTCTGAGTAGAACCCCTTCCCACCAACCAGTCTGTCCAGCTGAGTTCAAGCCGCACAGCCCACATGGTGACAGGACAGGAGCTCTCACAACCTGTCCTCTGCCCTCCACACGCAAACTGTGGTGCTGATTCTCTAGTATATCCAGCACACTAGACGAATGAGTAAATGCTCAATCATTTAAAATAAGTCATTGCGGATATTTTAAGAGACTTTTACCCAATCTGGAAGGAGCGGCTCTTACTTCTGCATCTTGTTTTTCACTGATTCGGAAATTAATTTATTTTTCTCTGTTAATAAGCACTTCATTGCTCCTAAAGTGATGGCCACATTTTTGCTGTAGTTGGTGTGTTAGTTCTGGACTCTCGTGGAAAGCGTGCATTTCTAAAAGGTCTATTGTTCTTTCCCAGCCCCATATCCTTTCGCTGAACTTCACTCTTTCTCTTTTCCTTTTCATCAACCTATACATCTTTTTCAAAGAAACCCTAATATGAAACCAAACGTTAGAGTTTCTTTTTCTTCATGGACTTTGTGTGGTTGCATACCATGAGAGCTATGTAATGCCAACTGTCATCATCCTTTCTCAGTGGAATAATAAAATAAATAAGCAAATCCCTTCTGAGGAACATACCACAAGCTAATACAACTTTAGGCACATTTTTACAGACTGCATTTTGAATGATATTTCTCATGTTTAGTGTTCAATTTAAATAAATAGAGGTTACAAGTAAGAACAAGGTATGGTTGCTCCACATTGTTTAAGACAGCTTTCAAATTTCAGTATGCCTGTGTGAGCAAGCTATCCATATGAAAGCATTAGGTTCCTCATGAACAGGGAAATTATAAATTTTCTAACTATGCAGCTTTTCTTCAGGCCTACAAAGGTTTTTTTTAATGTTTCATAAAAGAATCAAATCAATCTACAATTGTCTAGATTGAAAAAACTGTAAGAGAGGTAATTTATATTACAATTTTTTTTATTCCAAATGGAGGAAAGATTAGTGATAAAGTAAACACTGGACAATAGTGCTTATGTATCTCTGTGGTTAATATATGACTAGAGTATTATTTCCTTGACTATAAAAAGTATTTTTACAAAAATTTAAATGTTTATAAAATTATGAGAAATAAGGTAAGCACTAATTTACTTTTTAAAATTCAAGTAAACTATGATGTCTGAAAACTTTCATTATTTTTAATTTCTACAGTATATGAAAAAGAAAAAGTACATTCAAAATTTAACAAGGCAGGTAGAGTGAAGCAAATTAAAAGGAAAGAAGGAAGGAGCAGAGGGAGACTGGGAGGAAGAATACTCTGCATGATTTCTTTATTTTATATTTGGTTAAGCCAAGTTTTCAAATGTTAAAAGGCTGTCCAAAAATGCTTCAACTTTTGGAGCTCCTGTCCTCTCCAGGTCTTTCTGTTTCCTCCTTCTTCCATAAAATTCCATGCAGTCTGCCCAAAGTTTGGCTATGAGTCTCAGTCTCTGCTTCCATACCTCAATCAATGGAGCCTTTCAGAGGCCCTTTGTGATAGGCTCTTGTCCTGTTCCCTGTCATCTACTACTTCTGATGTCTATCTGGTTTGCCCTTCTGAATGAGTATTGAGCATCCTCCCTAGGGTCTTCCTTGATGCTTAGCTTCTTTTTAAAATTAATTTATTTTTATTAATTACAGTTTATACAATTTGTATCCCAACTATAGCGCCCTCCTTCATCCGCTCCAAATCCTACTCTCCCTCATCTCCTCCCATGCCCCTCCCCAAGTCCACTGATAGGGAGGTCCTCCTTCCCTTACCTCTGACCCTAGCCAATCAGGTCTCATCAGTACTGGCTCCCTTCAGGGGGAGGTGATCAAAGAGCCAACCACTGAGTTCATGTTAGAGACAGTCCCTGCTCCCATCACAAGGGAACCCACTGGAGACTGAGCTGCCATAGGCCATATTTTTGCAGGGGTTCTAAGTTATCTCCATGAATGGGTCCCGGTTGGAGTATCAGTCTCAGAAAAGACTCCTTTGCCCAGATCCTTTGGTTCTGCTGTTCTTCTTGTGGAGCTCCTGTCCCCCTGCCCCCCAAATCCTTCATCTCCCCCTTCTTTCACAAGACTCCCTGCACTCTGCCCAAAGTTTGGCCACAAGTCTCAGCATCTGCTTTACCCTGATGAGTAGAGTCCTTCAGGGGCCCAGGGTGGTAGGCTTCTGTCCTGTTCCCTGCCTGCTCTCTCTTCTTATGTCCATCCTGTTTGTCTTTCTAACTGAGGATTGATCATCTTACCCAGGGTCCTCTTTCTTGTTTATCTTTAGGTGTATAGATTTTATTATGTTTACCATATCTTATAGGTCTACATAAGTGAGCATATACCATGTGTGTCTTTCCCCTTCTGGGATACCTCACTCAGGATGATCTTTTCTAGATCCCACCATTTGCCTGCAAATTTCATGATTTCCTAGTTTTTAATTGCTGAGTAGTATTCCATTGTGTGACTGTACCACAATTTCTGTGTCCATTCCTCTGCTGAGGGACATCTGAGTTGTTTCCAGATTCTAGCTTTTACAAATAACGTGGCAACGAACACCATTGAACAAATGCCCTTGTTGTATAGTTGAGAATATTTTGGATATATGGCTAGGAGTGGTATAGCTGGATCTTGAGGTAGCACTATTCTTAGTTTTCTGAGAAAGTGCCAGATTGATTTCCAAAGTGGTTGTATAAGTTTAAATTTCCACGAGCAGTGAAGGAGGGTTCCCCTTTCTCCACATCCTCTCCAGCATGTGTTATCACTTGAGTCTTTTATCTTAGCCATTCTGACTGGTGTAAGGTAAAATCTTAGGGTTGTTTTGATTTGCATTTTCCTCATGACAAAGGACATTGGACATTTCTTAAAGTGTTTCTTTTTCATTCGATATTCCTCTATTGAGAATTCTCTGTTTAGCTCTGTACTCCATTTTTGTAGCAGAGGCTGAGACTCATAGCCAAATTTTGGGCCAAGTGCATGGAATCTTATGAAAGAAGAGAAATTTAGAAAGACCTGGAGGGAGCAGAAACTCCAAAGTGAGACCAACAGAGCCAATAAACCTGACTCATGGGGGCCTGCAGAGACTGATATCCCAACCAAGGAGAATGCATGGTGAGGACCTAAAACCCCTGCTCAGATGTAGCCCATAGACTCATTCTCCAAGTGGGTTTCCTAGTAAGGGGAGCAGGGCTTGTCTCTGGCATGAACTGAGTGGCAGGCTCTCTGATCACCTTCCCCTTGGGGGTGCAGCCTTGCCAGGCCACAAAGGAAGACAAGATACTCAGTCCTGATGAGACCTGATAGGCTAGGGTCAGATTGAAGGGGATGAGAACCTCATCTATTAGTGGACTAAGGGAGGGACATAGGGAGAGAAGGAGAGAGGGTAGAATTGGGAGGGGCCAAAACCAGTATACAAAATAAATAAATTTTAATAAATAATAATAATTAATAAAAAATTTCCCCTTTCAATACACAACGACTCTCCCCTCTTCCCCTAATTTGGTCTTTCATACTGTTAAGTATTCTCCAGTTGTCTGCAGCAGCGACAAACCAAAAAAACAGAAAAGAGATGAGAGTAAAGAAAAAGTAAGTTGACTAAACCATTATGCAAATGGTTAAGCAAAGAAGATGCTAAAGGCAAAAAACATGATGACAGAATATTTTCCTTAAGCTGATATATATGACAAGATACTCCAGTGAGTTGAAGAAAATACCACCAGGGGGTCTTTGCCAAGTATACCAGTACCATTTGTCTTGACTATGCTGATGAAGTTGTCCAAATGTTGAAACAGTAGCATCTTGAACTGCAACTCTCAAGATTCACTGAATGTCATTCTTTCTTACTCATATCTCATTTTTTTAAGTGTTTTTTTGTTTTGTTTTGTTTTGTTTTTTTTTGACATGCTTTCTCTGAGTAGCCTTGGCTGTCCTGGACTCACTCAAATTTTTGAGCATGGCTCAAAAATTTTATTGAAGTATTTCATCAAATGAAAGTGAAAGCCTTCTTCCAAAATCAAAAATTAAAGCTTAACCAAGGGATGTACAGTGATTCAGCCAACTATTCCAAAGGTAAAATTAAACTATTTTTTCAATTAGGAATCAGTTTGAGTAGGATAATCACTAGTCAACAATTAGCGTTTTTTTTTCTTTCCTTTTTAAGAAAATTTATTTGTGACCATCACAGGTGATACTCTCCGCCTGACAATATTAACGAATAAGAATTGAACATGTTGGCAGGGTAAAGGAACAGGCAACCTTGTTATTAGTTATAACAGATTAGCTCTTTAACAAATCGCTGGCTACGTACCTATTAGAAGAGAAGCTGTCAGGAGTTTGGGGTCATAAGGACTCTTCCCACGACCATTTTCAAAATGTGAGTCATGCAGTTTAAAAATGTTGTCCTGAAAATTAAAAAAGAGAGAGGCTTCATTTATTTATAAAAGAAGCATTTTCAACATGTCAGTAAATCAAGAAGTTGAGTAGTCACGTCCAGAATGGAGGAATTTGATTTGTTTAAACTTTAGAGATGACAAAATAAATTAAATGGATTGAAAGAGCTAGCAGAGAAGCCAAATAGCTACTTAGTTTGATGATTTTTTTTTTTGGGGGGGGCGGTTCGTAGCTGTATGCATGCTCCAAATGAAAAGCCACAAATGAAGGCCAAAGAGCAGGGTTTGTTATGGTGGGAATAGGTTGATCTTTTAATTTTTCATGTATGCCAAGAAAGATCTTGTAACATGCAATGGATCTTGGAGAAATAAAATTTAGGTGTACATAACATGACTCATTTTCTTCTTCATAGAGAAGAAAATAACATTGAGATTACATTTCTAGATCATTTCTATCTTTTTTTTTTTTTGTATACACGATCCATTAAAAGTACTTAGCCACAATAGTCAATTCTCCTGCTCTGTTCTCTGTGCTCCTGTAATTTTGTGATACTTAATTAACTAGTAAGGGACATAAAACCATCCTTATCTCTCTACAAGGAACCACCATGCTTTAGATTGAATTTGCCTGTATGGTGGAATCAATGGAACATTAAACACATTTTAAACAGGTAGGTCATCTCTTTGGAGGGGAGGATTGGGGTCAAGTACCGGGATGAATGAATAAACTTTTAACTACCTACAGAAATATGCTCATATCACAAGGTAGCTTATGCATAACGGGCATCCATAACATCAGAAGCCCAATAAGTAGGTCTTTGATTCACAGCTAAGAACCCCCTGTCCGAATGTATATTGTTAGGTATATATGACAGGTAAGTAAACTCGAGCATTTTGGCACTCTACATACATGGGTGACCTGGGGATTAATAAGGGTAGAATATGTATGCTTTTTCCAGTAGCACATTAACTTGTCTACACTCTGGAATAAAATAGTGATGTTGGCAATTTTTCTACCAATCACATAAAAGTATTTTCCAACTTATAATGTCAAATGATTCATTTTATGGTCAATAAGCATCACTTTAATATTTAATATTTCTGATGGAACTAATGGCAGGGTTTCAAATTATAACTCTTAGAACCCATTTTGAATTGCAGAGAAAAGTGAAAACGGAAGGAAACTAAGGCATTCTGCAGTTTTGCTAGAGTGACCATGAATTACCTGCCTTACTCTTTCTTTTCATTGACTCAATATTTTGTATCAGCTGTCCTCTAGCAATGATGCCTTTTTAGCTTTGTTCTGAAATTCATACCGAGCAATAATTTATGTGTGTGTGTGTGTGTGTTTTTTTCTCTCAGAATCGTGCAGTTAGAGCAGAAATGTAGCGGATCCAGGCACCAAGCCCAGCTTGGCAAATAACCAGATTCAAATTTTCAGTGGCCTATCATAACTCTGAACCTCTGGGCTCAAAAGTCAATTTTAATATGAACATTTAGCTTTACAGTTCTATCAGGAAAATTACTAAAAATTTACGTGAAGAATCAATACAGAAAAATAAATAACAGCTTATTTTTATCTTAATGTTGCTCACATGATCACTCAAAGAATATGCATGGATAAAACAAGTTGTTACTCATATTGTAAAATCTCTTAATGTGATATGAAAGAAATCATGTTATGATTGCATAAATCACCAGATATATAACCTTAGCATAGACACTTTAGTACTTAAAACACAACATGAAAATTATTAGTGTATACTAATGAAGACATAGACTTACATGCAATAATTTTATTTCATGTATCTTTATTAAAATTAGAAACTAGAAGATAAAAATGTATATATGGAGAGGTATATCCATGCTTGAGTCTACAGTGGACAAATCAAGTCAAACACGATCACTGAGTATGAGTGTTTATTGAAAGTTGGAAGAAACACCGAGAGAAGTAGTTGAAAAAAACAGAACAGATGCTGTTGTTTCTTTTACCCATAGACATTGACCAACACAGAGAAGGCATCCTTACAAAGTATGAAGGACTTAATGTGACATGTGTCCAAATTAATCAGACAATGCCAGGAGAGATAAGGTGAACTTCCAATGTCATATGGTAATTGATTTACAAAGTAAAACATTCGCCTCCAAAGGAGTAGAGGTCAAGCACATCAGTCATTGTTAAAAAGGAGAGGAAAATTGACCCTTGAAAACGGTTTTGGGTACAATGCTCAAAACTTGCTTTCTTTTTAGTTAACTCTGCATATAAATACCAAGTTAATCACTCCTTCCGCTGATAAAGTATCTTCTCTTTCATCATAACTGCTACTGAAGTTTCTGAATATCTCCTATACAACTGCTCTGAGTTCAGTTTTCTTTCCAGTCCAGTGGTCATGGAATATATACTTCCTTTCTGTAGAGGAGTTATTTGCATACACATACTTGTAGTGTAAAGCCCATACCTATTACATGTGGAAATGGGACCAAGGGTACAGAAATTGGACAAAATGGGTGTTATTCCTGGCTCTTTCTTTTGCTAGCTTTGGACCTCAGGCAGGACCTACAGCCCTTCCAAAACTCAGATTCCTCATTTGCAACAGAATAAGAAACAATATCACTTTTAATGTAAAAATCTGTTGTGATAGCATATAAAATAGAATTTATCCTAGAATCTGTTCCTTTTTTGCTGCAGTGAAATCATTTTGTCTCATGCTTATAAAAATTTCACATACCACAGAGAAAGTGTCTTTCTATGATCACAACCAGATCTTAGAATGGATTTTTAAAATGTATTTAAATGTTTGATCTCCCATAGAACACTGGAGATTTTCTTTCCTCTTGTTGGATGAAAATAAACTTGAAAAGCCTTATTTGGGGAAAAAAAAGACCCTTCAAAGTGCAAAAATTTTGATTTTCTTAACATGAGTGTTCTTTTCCAAATAAGGTGGAGGGCAATGTGTTAAAACAACTTACTGGTAGTGGTATACCCATAATCCTAACAGTTGAGAAAAGATGAGAAGTACAAAGTCATCCTTGCCTACATGGTAAGTTTGAGACTGGCCTGTGCTGCCTGAGATTGTGTTTCACAACAACAAAGAAAGAAAAAAATGGGAAAAATTGAGAAATCACAACACTCTTAAAATAGATTACCTCAAAAATGTTCATTATTCAGTGAGGAAAAAATTATTCCAGCAGCATACATAATTTCTTTACCAATTAAGTTTTACAGTTACACATCTGAAAGAGTTAGCACCTACCAATAATTAAAAAATAGTGAACATAAAGAAAGCAAATATTCTGATTTAAAAATGAGTATAGAAATAAACAGAGAGCTATTAAACACTAAAATACAAATGGATGAGAAATATTTTTTTAAAAATCCTTTTCTTTTGTGGTAAATGCAAATTAAAACTACTTCGAGATTTTATCTTACACCAGCAATAATTGTCAAAATTAATGGTAGATGTTGGTGAGAATGTAGGGAAGGCGGGACACTCACCACTGCTGGTGGGAGTGCAAACTCGTAAAGCCATCATGGAAGTTCATTTGGAAGTTCCTCAAAAAAGCTCCTTTACACATTTTTGGGGATAAAGCAGTGTATTTTACTGTCGAACATATTCATTGCTACTCTATTCATAATAGCCAGAAACTGGAAACATCTTAGATGCTCATCAAATGATAAATAGAACATGAAAATGGGTCACATTTATATAATGGAATATTATTCAGCTGTTAAGAAAAAGAAAAGAAATGATATTTTCATGCAAATATATGGAGTTAGAAACAAGTCATCTTGCATGATGTAACCCAGACAGAAAGGCAAACACTGCAGTTTTTCCTTTCTATGTGTTTGTTAGATTCTAAGTTTTGGATTTGTGTTTCATTCAGAATAATCAAGAGCTCAAGTAGCTAGTATGACATTGGGCTGGGGACATGGTTCATCTAAAAAATGGAATATAATGTTATAAACTGAAAAGGGGGAAATTAGAGTAGGTGGATTACACAGAGATGGATGATGGAAGGGCAAGGTAGAGAAGAGAATATGGGAAGGGATAGCTAACTATAAAGGCCTTTTGTGAAGCTATATGGAAACCTACTGATTCTAAATCTTCCTTACACACACACACACACACACACACACACAGAGAGAGAGAGAGAGAGAGAGAGAGAGAGAGAGAGAGAGAATTTAAATGAGTTACCATATAATGGGAAAGACAATGTCCCAAGTAGACATCATATGCTATCAAATTGAATCTCAATACCATGAATGGGTTATGACTTATCATTTGCAAAAGAGGTCTCTTAGAACCTCTCCCAAATATCATAGGTCACTGCCAATGTTACCCTCTGCAACTTGACAGTAAGATCCTATTACTGAATATAGCATTTACTTATGCATTCAAACTTGAAGAGGTCTAGTTAATGCTCAAGTAGAAGCTCTGAGTAGCATTCACTGTGCTGTACGGTACTATGGACGTTACCAAAGGGAAAATATCATCATCATTCTCACCCAGGTATGAGCCCTGAGAGTTATAATATTGACCATTTGCAAGACTTGCCCTCTGTTACAATTGTAGCATAAATGTTATCAGAGTAACTAAGTATGTTTTTGTTGGCTTGCAGGCAGGCTTTATAATATGGAGTCAGTACTAAGAATAGATAGGTCATGGATTCCAGGGGAAACCTACTACTATTATGTTAACTGAGTATAGCATAGCAATGACTCCTAGTGACATATCACCATACTATAGAACAGGACATAGCTAACTCTCATCAGAGAAGCTACATCTCGCAACAGATTGTATGTACCTAACAAAGAAACCCATACATGGACAGTTTGCCAAAACTGAGGGTCTTTTCATTTGGCCGTGAATGAGTTATCTTTATCATACCCTTCTCCTCAAGGCTCATAGATCTTTGTGGAAGAAGAGGAAGAGAGACTGTATGAGCCAAAGGTGGTCTCAGACAAGAAGGTTTCCCAGACACAACAGGGCAGATACATTTAAGAATTCAGA